ATAGTAGATTATTTGAGATAATTTTTTGAAAAAACATACTGTAGCACGTTTTTGATATGATATATATGAGATAAAAATAGTTGACAAATATGTTGATGATATAAGCAAATGAATTTTGGTAAATAATGCACTGCACTATCCAAACATACCAGCTAGCATTATTTCTCGAAATCAATTGATTCTAACAATTGATCTATGGTTTCCTTTTGAATGCTTAAAACAAGGCCTCTCTCTAAGCAGGGAAATGGTGGAAAGGCGGAATTTGAAATTGTTCACTTCTAATTTTTTAGGGCTTAATATTAATCACTAGAGCAAAGTTTTCTCAACTTAAAATCAGTTGAATAATTGGTTATGAAAAGATACATACTCTAGGCCTCCATTGACCCTTTTTCTTTTTTTTTCTTTTTTGTGATAACCAAAGCCCCAATTTACAGTGGCGACTGCCGGGATTCTATCTAGGCTAAATTAATAACCCATGAGGGAAGAAGGTTCTTCCGTCCATGTCACTTTTGGCTTTACATGTTTTCCTTGTGCTGTTTAGAATAAGAAAATCAGATGATAAACGAGAATATGCATTTATTTTGATCTCTTGCCGTACTACTTGATAAAGGCGCAGGCCGAAAAAGTTATAAAGTGCATGGTCGGAAAGTATGTGCGCGTGTGCGGACACACACACACACATATATATATATGTATATATTGTGTGTATATATATATGTATATGTATGTATGTATATAAACAAAAGTATACGTTTGTTAGGCTCATATTGAATCAAATGTAAGTTTGTAGTTGTCCCAAACTGCTATAAGTAACATTAAAGCACCAGCTAACATTGCAAAATCAAATTCTCTCCGTCAGGGAAAGAAATTCATTTGGATCAGCTGTTTTTTGAAATATTTTTGAAATATTTTACTGTAGCAGTGTATATGAAAAATTTTTACTATAGATTTTTTTAAAAAATATTTGATATATTGTATGAATAAAATAGTTTTAAATTATTTTTATTTGTGTATTATTATAGCATTATATTTGAAAATTTTATTTTTTAAAAATAGGCTAATCCAAACGGAGGTTCACCTACGCTGAAAGAAAGATTCTGACAATGTTCTTGCTCTAAGGCTTGTCGGATAGGTGCTCCGGTAACCAAACTTTGCTATGGCTCCTGGGTAGAGGTGATTCAATCGGTTGAGTGCCAAGATAAAGGCTCCACTATCTGCACGCTCACTCAACTTACTTTATGTTCATCATGCTTGAAATGATAGTTTCATTTTTTTTTGAAATAAAAGTTTGTTCATTTTTTTTTAAAATAAAAGTTTGAGTTAATTCGATTCTACTCGTTATTATGCATCCAGGGTATAGAGTCAAGATCGTAAGTCACTTACATGAATTCTTACAAACTGCTTATCAACATAATATTCATATTAGTACCGAGATTCGAACACATAAGCTTTTATAAAAAAGTGATATATTCTTACTAATTAACTGCTTATCAACATAATTCTCATATTAGCAGCGAAATTTGAATACATAACCTTTTGTATGTCCTTAATAATTGAACCAACCTGCACTAGCAAACGGTAATTTCATATTGTGCAATCTATGAGATTTGTTTGCATTACACAAAATAATCATTAGTTGCACGTGATTATGGTAGCTCTTACAAAGATGCCTAATTTTGACAGAGTAATTCGAATACGAGCTTCTAAAATAACATCCAATAATATTACTAGAGACAAATAGCTGCTCTGAGGCCTATTCTTAGTTCAGAAAAAGAAGCTTCTAAATAACATGAACAAGTTCTGTCGAGCCAACTTCACTGGGTAGATATTCCCTTCAAAGAAGCAAGAGCTTCTACCAAGATGGACCTAGGGATCAGGAGGGGCAATTGCCCCTAATTTTTAGAAAATTCAATTTCACTCTTACAGAATATTCAATATTTTCTATAAATGTTCTTTAAAATTTTAAACATTTTTCCTTGCAACAATTTTAAAATTTTTTGTATTATATACTTAAGTTTAGATATATTGATATTCACCTTCTCCACCTAAATTAGATTTAGATTGGTTATTATTCAACCCCAAAAAAATGTAAATTTTCCTATTCCTCAATCCATGGATCTGCTTGGGACCCTTCTTCTTTAGAAGTTTTTAATAGATAAGTTTTTTCACACAACTTTTTTGTCTACAGAAACCCTTTAAAACCACTCCAAACTTTTAAAATGCACACCTCAAACGAACCTATTCTACACCGGACTAATGAATTAGGTTGCTTTATTATGAGAAAGGGATTCAGTATTAGAAATTATTATAGCCCAGTTAGCATGTTTGGGCCTATAGGCCTAACCAATGATTGGCCTCGTAGGCTCACATTCATATCAGCCCATTCGTAAAAATTGATGCAATCAGTGCCGTCAATATTTGAGTTTTTAATAAAAATACTTATTAACAACTTAAGTGTTTTTAAATATATTATTTGGAAATATAATTTAATAAATATTTATTATATTAGATAATATATAATTTAAAAATTTTTAAAAGCGTTTATCCCTTTATTTGGTTCATAATATAGGATAAATGATTAAATTTGATATTTTTTTAAAATCACAAAAGTTACTTTAAAAGCACCAAATTTGAATTTTTGCTAAAAGTGTTTTTAATACCAAAAACTCTACTCCTAATTTTATGGCATGATGTTTATCAAACACTTTAAAAGTACTTTTATTACCTAAAAGTATATTTTTTTATCAAAAGTACTGCAGCCCCAAACGAGGCCTAAATAAGGACCTCTAAATTTTTTCTTCATCCTTCAAAAATCTTTGCTCCGGCCCTTCCCCTTTGCTCAGAGCTATCAAACTTAAGGTTTCTCGCATTCATATCAACTAGTTTCCTTTTGGATGCTTAAAACAATGGCTCTCTCTAAGTAAGAAAAGGATGGAAACGAGGAATTTGAAACTATGATTTCTGATTTTTGAGGCCTCAATGTTACTCTAAAGTCTTCTCAACTTAAAATCAGTTGAATTATTGGTTATGAAGAGGTAGCCTGTCCAATGACCCTTTTTTTGTTGGGGTGATAACCAAAGCTTCAATTTCTACAAATCAGTTGTCCTTTTTTTTTTTTTTGGTTTGCTTATAACAACGTGTATGTGTGTTGAATAGGTGCATAACGGATCAAATGCAAGTGCACGATTGTACCAAATGAAATGGTATAGAAAACATTTGGGCACCAGTTAACTTTTACAAAATCAAATTTTCTCCATCACGGGAAGAGCTTAAAAATAAAATCAAACTTTGCAAGTTCACATACTATGAAAAGTTTTGGCAATGTTCTTGTTCTAAGGCTAGTCGAATTTAGAGGTGGCAAATCAACCCATTTAACTAGATTTACCCATACCTGCCTATGAATAGATGGATATGGGTATCTTAAATTTTTATATATGAGTATAAATGGGTTACCCAATAATACCCATTTATTAAATGGGTATTATTGGGTAACCCATCAAACCCAATTAACCCATTTAAAATTCTCTTCCCCCCAAGTCTCTTCTTTTCCCTTACCTTTTTTTTTTCAAATTTTTCATTTTGTCATGATGTTAACATTATTATTATTATTATTATTATTTGTTGGTTTTATCTTATTATTTTATTTTTTCTTAGTTTGTTAACTTGCTCATTTTTTAGCATTACCAATTTATGATAAATTTTAGCCTATTTTCTTATCTTTATAAAATGAAATTTTAAATTTATATATGAAAAAAATGTTAGGGGTTCAAAATTTTTGGATTAAGTTTTTATATTAATTTTTATAGTACTTAATTCAAATTTTTATATTCGTATTATTCAATTATTAAATAATAGGTAATTTTGTGACATAGAGTATAAATGAAAAAAATTGGTAATTAAGTTTATTGAACATTATAAGTAAATATTTAAAACTAATCATGGGTACAAAGAGTGGTATAAATTGATAACTTAGTTTGCAAAAATGAATTTAAATGAGTTTGCAAAAAGTTAAAATAAATGAGTTATAAATGGATAATTGGGTTACCCAATTCATTTTTTGACTTACCCATTTATACCCATCTAATTAAATGGGTTAAATGAGTTGACTCACTTATACGCATTACCTATTTTACCCAACCCAAACCCGCCCAAATCACCCATTTTGACACCTCTAGTCGAATTGCTGCTCAGATGACCAAAATTTGCTATGTTCCAGGGTAGAAGTGATTGAATTAATTGAGTGCCAAGATATTATAAGGCTCAGCTATTCGTTCTGTCCATCAATTCTTGAAATGGTAGTTTCATATTATACAGTCTGTGAGTTTTGTGTACATTATAGAAAACTAGGAGAGGATCACCGCGCTATGCGCGGTGTTTAATTGTAGAGTCTGCTCGATGATGCCCAGTAGTGTATAATGAAAGATAAATAACAAAATAAATAACAGAAAAGTCACATTGAAATTGGCTCTATGAATGTAAATTTCAATCTTGTCCAAAGGAAATAAGACATAGAACTAAAGTTATATTGATCCAAAAGTACATTAGTAATGTAAATTTCAATCATGTTTGAAGGAAACAAGATATACAATAAAAGTTACATTGATCCAAAAGTACTCTATTACCTATACTTTGAACAGCTAACTATACTCTTGTTTCGTAGTGCTTTTTGGACACCTCAAATTCTCAAATAACTTCTTCTGCCAGAAGATTTTCGCCACAAAATACTCCAATATCAACATGCAATCAACAATACTCCAATGAAACTAAGAGACTAAACTTCGCCTGTAATCCTTAGTTCTGATCAAGTCAGATACAAGAAGAAAAAGAACTTCCAGAGAACATTGTGCAAGTTTCTAGTCTGGGGAATTGAAAAGTTAAAACATATATGAAATAAATGTAGAAAGCAATTACGGAGAACCAGAAAAAAAAAATCCCAGGGGAAAAAGGAACAGTTAAAATTCATTAAAAAAAAAAAAACAGCTGACAAAACCAGAAAAAAGGGAAAGGGAAAAGAATTTAGATTTTCATCAAAGCAAAATTATTATCAGAATCTGCTGATGGCAGTCGAGCATTATCCTACATCCCATGATAATCCCATCAAATGAGAACTTATTAAAACAAACCACTATGATTGCATACTCTATCCAAACAAATTGCCATTTAGGCATTTTATTTGTCTCCAACAATTTCAGCCACATGGTTAATAATCTTCTATGCCATGTATGCCTTGAATATCAAGAAATTGACTGGCAAAGCGTGAGACAACGAATTCAGAAAATGTGAAAGAAAAGAAAAAAATGAACTACATGAAGAAGATTTTTCACATTTAGCTATTTATGAATGTGCTTGAAAGAAAGGAAAAATCTGCTTTCACTGTGTATGTTGACAAAATTATATATCTTAGATTAAACAATCAAATCTAAACATGTTACCTCTTGCTGTTCGATTCGAACCCATTTTGAGTGGCGTAAATAAATCTTAAAGCTTCTAGCAGAATTACCATCACCAATGCTTCAAGCTTCATCACGGTCCACTTCAATTAACCTAAAAAAGAATAATATTAAATAGGTTAGTCGAGCAAAAACACAACTTGAAAACAAAAACAAAACCATTTCTTATACAGATGCAGAAATATAAAAGGTTATTTAAGGTTTTTAAGCAAAATGACAATTCACTTCCCCAATTCTAAAATGTGCTCAGAATCTAGTAGCTGAGACGTCTTATTCTTGGGCAAGCGTCTTTTTACCTAGAAAAACTAAAACCATTTAAATTAAGGACCATTATGTAACGTTCATGTTCGAAACACTTGTTCTATTTTTTCGTTATGAAAGAAACAGAAATGATACATGGATATAGCTTTAAGAATAATTAAACATAAACATTTTTTATTGCATAAGACATTTTGCTCTTGTTTAAAAAAAAAAATTCTTCCATCCCACCTCCCAAATTAACATTCTTCGCTCTCTCCTACCTTCCTTGAAGAAAAACTCAATTAACTGAATGCTTATCAGTGAATTACCACAATAAACATAACACATCAGCACTACTACCACTCATTATATCCACCTACTATCAATATCACCAATTTATTAAAAATTTCTCTAGACTGAGCACTGAAAATAATGCAATTAATCGAATAATTAACCAGAACCTCAGCTACTCTATCTACCAAATTTAAACATTTCAACGGGTGAAAAATAATAACTTCTATCAATAGAGATAGACAGAAAACTGCAAGCATTCTAAATATAAGGACTGTAACCTAATGGAGTATAGCATTTTGAAACCAAAAGGATAAGAAGATACCTTAGAAGAAACAACACAACCAATATAATAGAATCTCCTGCAAAGCAAGTTCATGCATCAAACATCCAAAAAAAAAAATAAAAAATCAAAGAACCGTTAGAAGCAACCCAAAATAAGGATCCATAGTAACTGCGAATAAGAGGCCGGGGAAAATATCATCAACTTAACATAAAAACTTAAAAGGACTCGGAAAGAAATATAGACATTAACATTTGAAAAAGAACCAAAGAATCCATACCTTTACATTTCGTTGAAACTCTCAACTCTGGAATCCAAGGCAGAATAATCCAAAAAAATGAGCAAAATTAAATCAAATAGATAAAAACACCAAGGGTGTAACACTCGAAAAGGAAAACTAACAAAGAACGGTATAAGAAAAATATAGTCAATATTTTAGGCACAAAGTTTTGTACAATTGTAAAATCCGAATGTTTGGTTATTGGTTTTGCGGGAAAAGAGATATACAAAGGACAAATTATTGCTGATGATGACAAGAAAATAAGGAGCTGAACAAGGGGAAAAAAAAACCCACAATAATAAACTGAAAAATAAACATTTGAAAAAAATACCATGATAGCATCTACGGAAGTGCATAATTGAGCTTTCTCTTCATCATTTTACTTTATTCACCTCTTCTTCTTGGTTCTAACGAGAAGAGTTTTGAGAGAATTATCGGTGGAGAATGGAAGAGGAGCAGTTCTGACCAGAGAAGAAAAAAGAAAGGAAGTGGTCATAGCCTCATAGGACTCCTCGAGCCACTCGATTGATAAGAGTAGATAGGTGAGCTGTCGATTTCTAATGGAAGCAGCAGGACAACAGATGGCATAAGCAGCAGCAACTCTCGTATTACTTTCCAAATAGTCCCCGAGTAATGAGGTTGGGGGCCAAAAAAAACCAAAAGAAACAAAGCAAAGCCAACCAAAGCCACGTGGGACCAGAATTTAGCTGCAGACTTCCAAGCAAAACAAAGAAAAAAAGAAACAATCGGCTGGGCGACCAATTCACGCGAGCGAATTCACACGAAGCAGACGACCATCAATCCGCCAATGGAAGCCCGCCACATCAGCAATCAGAACCCAATTGAAAACCTCCCCATTCCTGCATAGACTAGATATGTTAAAAAACAGCATATTTCGAGTCGCATTACCTTGGGCAATAAGCGCTTACACGACATTGTTGAATTCCGTACCCTTTTTTTTTTTTACTATTTGTGACTACAGTAGTTCTTACAAATCATGTAAATAATTTTGACAGAGGGATTTGATAATGAAAAACTAGAGCTTTTAAATGAATTGAACTGAATATATTCGTGTTCAGCTTATTTTTGTTCAAAAAAAGACTCGATCATTTAATAAACGAATCGAATTCAAACACAATATTAGGTTCGTATAATAATCAAGTCAAACATGAATCTACTTGCAAATTATTCAAATAGTTCATGAATATATATATATATATAATTATAAGGGTTATTATCACTTTACCCCCTTAACGTTCGGTATCACTATGAATTTCCCCCTTAACGTTATTTTTTTGTCACTTTACCCCCAAAACTAACGGTCAAACTTAACGGAGTTTGTTAATTAAAATAAAAAGACAAGTTTAGCCCTTAGAGCTATTATCATTTTACCCCCGTAAACTATAATCTCATTAGCAATTTACCCCATAGAGTTATTTTTTAGGTAATTTATACCACCATTAAACCAACTTAACAAGTTAAAAAGTTTTAGAAGAAATTATCCTCCTCTTTGTATAATAAAAATAATAAAAAGTTTAGAGTGGTTCTTCTCCTCTTTAGTATCAAGAAAAAAAGTCAAAGTATTAATTTTTTTCTTCTTGACAATCTTATTAATATTAAAAAAATAGAAAGATCGGAAGGGGGAGGGAGAGGGGGAGAGAGAGACAGAGAGAGAGAGTTTAATTCTTTTTTTAGAAAATACAAATAAGAAAGAATTAAATACTTTTATTATTTTAAAATTATTTCACTTTATTCTTTACTACCAGATTTCAATTCTAATCCCAACAACCTTAAATTAATACGATAATATTAGATTTTTTTTCTTTGCAAAATCTAATTTTCTGTCTCCTTCTTTCCTATCTCCTTTTCTTTTCATAGTATTAATAAGTGTGAAAAAAATTTGAGAAAACGCTTTTATTTTTATATTTTTGGATCTCTTAAAGTGAAAAAAAAAAGAAGAATAATCATTCTAAATTTTTTATTTTTAATTATATATATAAGGGTAAATATATTTAAAATTTTTTTACCATAGTAGTTAGATTAACGATGAAGTAAAATGCTAAGAAAATAATGCTAGGAATTAAATCTATTATATCACTATAATTAAAGGAATAAAGTAATAATAACAGTGTAGTAATGCTATAGAATAAAAGGATATTTTTGTTCAAAATTTCTTAACATGTTGAGTTGAATTACTTATGGGGGTGAAGTGACTAAAAGATAACGTTAAGGGGTAAACTGATAGTAGTTATATAGTTTAAAAGGGTAAAGTAATAATAACCCTAATTATGAAAATAAATATTTATAAACTCAAACTCAAATATTTATAAAAATAAACAAATTGCATTTGTGCAATATTTAAATATCATTAGTATTTGAGCCAAACTCGAACTCTATTCGTACATTATATGAATAGAATCTAAATATTAAATATTCAACTCAATTTAACTTGTTAAAATCCTATGAGCAATGGAGTTAACCCTGTTAGGGTAGAATATCCCTTAGAAGATGGAAGAACATCCACACCAAGGGCAGATGTAAGGGCTGTGTTAAGAAAATTCAATTTTGCTCTTATAAAAAATTAAAATTTCTAAAAGTGAGTTTAAGAATTTAAACTATTACCTGACAAAAACTTTAAAATATTTTAAATCATATACTTAAGTTTGAATATGTTAACATTTACCTCTCAACATAAATTAGGTTTAAATATGTTAACATTCACTCCCTCAATGTAAATTTTTCATCAATCTTTCTACGTCCTACTAGGGCTGTTCATTGGCTGATAATAGTGAATTTAGTAAAAAGAATTTTGGTAATTCGGAGAGTTGATTTTTTAAGATAAATATCCAATTACCGTCCAAACTTTAGTTTTGTAAATTAGACCAGAGAATCGATAATTTTGTAATATTCGAAATTCAAAATGTCAATAGTGAATTAAAATATCTTAATTTTCTCTTAACATTATTGTAACAAAATAATATTCCATATGTTTTTCCAACAAAATTCAATCAACTTAACTCAAACAATGATACGCAAAAAAAAAAGTTCATAATTCTAAGTCCTAACTCATAATCTCAATTCTTAAAAAACACTGAAATAAACAAAAACTTCAAATTAAATTGTCAAACTAAACTCCAACATGTCAACTTTCATCAAAATTCGACTTCAAAGTATAGTTATAGTTAAGTTAACTAATTAGTATTTAGTACGAGGATTAAGATTTACTCTTATATTTAGGCATATATATATGTATAACATTTTATTTAAAAAATTTTGATAATTCTTCCTGTAATTGGTAATTTGATAATATTTTTAATATTTAATATTTGATAATATTTTTAATATTTATTTCCGAACCATTTTACCAAATGTTATATTTCAATTTTTTTAAATTTTTGTTTTACCGAAATCTGAGATCCAATCTAGATTGGATTGGCCGGTTTTTTTTGTTTATGAATTCCCCTCCGCCTAAAAGGATCCGTTCTTAGAGTTACCATAACAGCCCAATTAGAAGTGTCTGGACCTCAAAGCCCAAATTCATAATTGGCCTCGTTTCCTCCCATTAAAAATTGACGCAATCAAACATTAGGGTTTCCCTCGCCGAAAACCTCCCGCCTCTTAAGAAGGACCTCTACAATTTTTCTTCTTCCTTCAGAAATCCTTCTGCTCCAGCACTTCCTCTTTGCTCAGCAAAAATTTGCAGGTTTGTTACACTTTTTGGCCCTAGAAGCCCTTTTTTTCTGATCAAGTTTCACTGTTTTTGATTAATTTGTGCTCCGATTTTAGTGATAATATGCATTTTTTGTTTCCTTTCCAACTTAATTTTAATTCTTTTTCTGCGTGTATTCGTTGAGTTATGCATATAGATCAGTTGAAATCATACTGGGTTTTTGGTTATTAACATGGATAAATATGTTAAGAAAATGAAGTTGGATAAATAAAGATTTAGAGGTAATCTGGGCTTTAGAGACTCTCCTGTGTTAAAGGTTTTTTGTATTTGATTTGGTTGAGCAACATTGATTTCTTGGCTTGTTATATATTTGGAAGAAGCTGTGAATTTAGGGTGATGTGGCTGAAAATTTAGCTGCTATGAACTATGGCTAGTAAATTTAAACTGGTAGACAGAAAATTGTGAGTTAATGAGATTCTTGAACTCGATTGGCTGAATGGTGATGGAAATGAGATGCTTGATATTTCACTGTTTATGGATAAATTCGAGTATGTCAAGGTGGAAGATGTAGAAATGGGGAGTTTGTGGGTTCGGCAGTACGAATTTGGTTTCACTGGAGGACTTGAATTGCAAAGGAAATCGAGATTTTCTTTTCCTTTTTTCGTTGGTGTTAGTTGAACCGAACGTTTTCAGTTGGTGGAGATGGTATTTATGTCCCAAGTTTTGTTAATATGTAAGAGCTGTTGAATTAGCTGTTTTCTATGAGCATAATAGCAAAGCAACATCAAAATGGTATGGCAAACGAGTTGATCGAATTTTTTTCAGGGTTTATTGGGTAACGAAATTAACTTCTGTTGATTGTTTGTTGGCAAGTACTTCAGGAGAAATTTGATTTTCTGCTTGGAAATAAACTTGCTATTGTTGGCTGCTCAAAAATTTGAGGATAGCTCAGCTCTCATTTGTTGAATGCAAGTTATAGTTTTTTTTATTGGGTTATGTGTTTTTGATGGCTTTACCAATGATCAATTGGAAACAGAAAAATGATGCTGTTATACTTGTTCTTCAGTTCTCAGAATAACATTTATTTTAACTACTACTCCTCCTCCTTGTCCTATTATGTGCCTTACTGTTATGTTCTTCTCATTGATAGTTGAATATACAGTCATTCATGCTCCTGTTTCTTGTGATGCTATTGAGTGATTTGGCTTGAAGCTCGGCGTTGGGCAACTGTTGCAAATTAAATCGGTTTTTTTCATTTGTAGGTAAGACATGGTTAAGCATAACAATGTTGTGCCCAGTTCACACTTCAGGAAGCACTGGCAGAACTATGTGAAAACTTGGTTTAACCAACCTGCCCGCAAGACAAGGAGACGCAATGGTAAGTTGCCAGTTTCATGGAGTTTGAATAGGCAAGAAACTGATGGGTTTGCCCATGCAATGCTAGAATGATCTTACTCCATGTTGCATTTCTGCAGCTAGACAAAAGAAGGCTGTGGCAATTTTTCCAAGGCCAACAGCTGGACCGCTTCGACCTATTGTTCATGGGCAAACCTTGAAGTACAATATGAAAGTCAGGGCTGGCAGGGGATTCAGTCTTGAGGAGCTGAAGGTGAGTCAATTTGTTAAAACCTATTTTACCTTGTTTACATTAAGTTAAAGATTGTCTGTCATTTACTTTCTGGAGCTTCATTGCATTGTGAAACCATATGACCTAGAGAAAGGTTTTTTGAACATTATTTTGACTCTGATCCATTGAGACTACTGGCTTTCTCTGCCAACTGATTGAAGTGCTCTGTGGAGATGTTTTAAGGCATG